CCTTTCATTAAAAAAATGCATTACCCGCGGAGAAAACTTTTCAGTAAAAATAATATTAGAGTAGTTTGTACCTCCGAAAACACCTTTTCAACTCTTTTTACAAAATTAAAATCGAAATTTAACCCAAGAATCCTTAGTAATCTAGTTTAAAAGCTTAATTGCCTAGATTGTAATTGCGTCACCATAGGTGAAACCAGTCAAAATTTGCACAAAAGAACATCACAATACAAAAACAACTCTAAAAATAAGAACCAGAATAAAACACAACTAACGGATCACATTAATCAGCTCAAACATAACATTGATTTTTCTAATCCCTCGATCCTACATTTCGAAAATAATTTATTTAAAAGACGATTTAGCGAAGGATGCTTAATATCTTTACACAAGGAGACGGCCATAAATTTAAGAACTGACAATAATTCGCCTTGCAATGACTATAAAATAATCCTCGACCATTTTCAAAACACCACCATATCTGAATGAAGCGTGTATTTTTATTATTTTATTATTTTACAAATACATATGTTTGCCGGTCTTTTTACACTTTTGCAAAATTTGCAAACACAATTCATTCAGTATTTAGACGTTAGTCAATTTGTACACAATAGAATGTAACCAAAAATTATCAAAAAATAATTAGTTTAAATGTTCCAATTATTAATAGCTTGGTTTATCACAGTGTAATAGTGTAGTGTATTTTTGTAAAATTAATTTCTCTATAGAACTTATATATAAGTTCTATAACTTTATATTATTTTCCTCCTACATCATATAAAATCTTTTAGTTTTTCCACGGAATGACGGTCTCGATGAAACCGAAACGTATGGATAAATAAAGTATTTTAAAACTACTTTAGTTTTTTTACTTGGTGTTACTACTCAGGGCCGGATTTAGAAATTTGGCGCCCCGGGGCACTGACAAAAATGCCGCCCCATCCCTGAAATTTTACGAACTTTCGAACTTTTTTTAAAGCAATCGCGCTGCTTCAGCTGCGTAGGGACAAAATTTAGAAGCGCGTAAGCGCCGCGTAGCAGTCTAACGAATAAACAATGTTACATAACCCATATAAATGTAAACAAAAGGGTTTGGGCGTGTTTCCATACAGAATTGGCCCCACCCTGGTATTTAAATAATTTTGATGCCATTTTATAGGTATTTTCGAGAAAATCCGATATACCAAATTTCAAATCCGTAGCTCATCATTTGGCCGAGATATCAGTGAAAACATGTGAAAGTGGCCCCTTTTTTCAAACTCACTTTTTGTCGGAAATATGAGAGATATCGAAAAACTGTTAACGGCATTCTATTTATACTGATCTTGTCTATGTTGTTCATTATAAATAATGTGGAAAAATTATTTGCTAGTGCTAGAAAAAGTGAAAATAATTTTTTGTTTTGAATTTTCGGGTAGTGCGGTTGTTTGGACTAATTTTTAATTAGCATCATTAGAAAGGCTATTCAATTTTCTTTCACTGGCCAAAATTTCGTTTTATTTCATGTGGTAGAACACATCCAAAAGTAGAAAAAACCTGAGCAAGAACACGCTCGCGCTCATATAACACCCGTGTAAGTCGTCACTGATTTGCAACGACTAGCAACAGCACTGCTCGCCGCGCGCCTTCGTAAATTCTGCATATAAGTATGGAACATTTCTTTATAAAACATTTTTAATAAAACAAAAGATATATACATTTTTATTTTGAATAATTATATATTTATATGTATGTGTATAATAATAATTATATTCATATATAATTAAATATATATTATTCATATATTGCACAAGTATACTATATGATGGATATTTTATACAATTATCACTAAATAAATAAAAAATAGGTTGATAAAATATATACATAATAATAGTATGTCGGTATATGATTTCTATTCATACTACGGCAATGTATAGAATAGCAAGTACACTAAGATAGTCAAAAATATATTAAATAATATCATAAAGTTTTCTTATAATTAAATAATATATATTAAAATATATTGAATGGAATATCTCTGCCTGTAAATACAATTATTAATTGTTGAACTACTATAATATTGTGCTGCATCATTATTTAAAACGATATTTGAAATTTTGCGGCGAAAAATTATAGTAATAACTAAATTATACACTTAAATTAAATTGTCACTAAAATATAAGAAAACTGCAAAATCGACTGATGCAAAAGTGTAGTGTTCTCCAAACAGAAACAATAATTATTCATTAAAAAAAAAAAAAAATCATGATTTATTTATTAATTTTAAAATCTTCGCGGTTACTTAAATTCCAAAATTATATTAATTTTAAGCTGTCAGCATTTTGTTATGTTATGTTATGTCATGTGCGAAAAATTAAATATTGTTTTAGTTCAACTATTAATAAGAGTATTTACAGGCAGAGATATTCCATTCAATATATTTTAATATATATTATTTAATTATAAGAAAACTTTATGATATTATTTAATATATTTCTGACTATCTTAGTGTACTTGCTATTCTATACATTGCCGTAGTATGAATAGAAATCATATACCGACATACTATTATTATGTATATATTTTATCAACCTATTTTTTATTTATTTAGTGATAATTGTATAAAATATCCATCATATAGTATACTTGTGCAATATATGAATAATATATATTTAATTATATATGAATATAATTATTATTATACACATACATATAAATATATAATTATTCAAAATAAAAATGTATATATCTTTTGTTTTATTAAAAATGTTTTATAAAGAAATGTTCCATACTTATATGCAGAATTTACGAAGGCGCGCGGCGAGCAGTGCTGTTGCTAGTCGTTGCAAATCAGTGACGACTTACACGGGTGTTATATGAGCGCGAGCGTGTTCTTGCTCAGGTTTTTTCTACTTTTGGATGTGTTCTACCACATGAAATAAAACGAAATTTTGGCCAGTGAAAGAAAATTGAATAGCCTTTCTAATGATGCTAATTAAAAATTAGTCCAAACAACCGCACTACCCGAAAATTCAAAACAAAAAATTATTTTTACTTTTTCTAGCACTAGCAAATAATTTTTCCACATTATTTATAATGAACAACATAGACAAGATCAGTATAAATAGAATGCCGTTAACAGTTTTTCGATATCTCTCATATTTCCGATAAAAAGTGAGTTTGAAAAAAGGGGCCACTTTCACATGTTTTCACTGATATCTCGGCCAAATGATGAGCTACGGATTTGAAATTTGGTATATCGGATTTTCTTGAAAATACCTATAAAATGGCATCAAAATTATTTAAATACCAGGGTGGGGCCAATTCTGTATGGAAACACGCCCATACCCTTTATACTTATTATTAAAATATTTTTAAAATATCTGATAATTTGATGTGCATATGTCTTATGATCACTTTTGTCCACCAAATGTTTCTTTTTCAAATTTTTTTTATTGGATCATCGAAACCGCTAAAGCTGCCTCCCACAAATTTAAGCAGTTATTTATTCTGTAATTTTTTTTTGAATGATATTGGACGCTTTTTTTCCCAACAACTAAATCATCTTTTTTGGCATTTTGGCCCGTATCTTCAAAACAGTTGGACCTGCCTTGGCTAATGACTAATCAGCACGTTTCCCTAACAATAGGAATTGAATCATTTAAATCGGTTGATCCGTGTTCCCGAAATCGAATTAAATAATTAAAAAATATTAGATTGGTATTGATGGCGAGACGTGCTGATTAGTTTTTGGCACGAATTGCAAAAAATGGTAATTGAGTTTCGATATTTCTTCTCTGAAACAGCGACGCAGCGCGATTGCTTTGCAAAAAGTTCATAATTTTCAAAAAATTTCAAAATACGAAAAATGTGTTTTAAAAGTCTTTTTTTTCATTTTCAATTTTTTTCAGTTTTAAAGCTTTTTATAAAATGTAATTTTCACTAAGGGATGTTTCAATAATTTGTCTTAAGGCACAATGCCATGCGTCACTAGTTTAAATTTTTTTCAACGCTATAAGCTTGGAAGTGCAGAAATTCGTCATTTTAAGAGGGCTCGAGAACTGAAGAAAATATTTTTCTTAAACTTTCAGTTTGTTTACGGATCTTTATATTAGCCAAATTACCAAATTTGATAATGACTTATTAACCAATTTAATAATTTACGTTCGGAGAGGGAGGCAAGACAAAATAATAAATTTTAATAATCGGTTATTTCAACCCAAATTTTGCATTGCAATCGTATTATGTTTTGTTAATTATATTTCTTGAAATAAAAAATGTTGTTCAAAAAAGTTGATTATATTGTATAGAATTTTTTCCTCACTATCCAAATTTTGCCGCCCCCAAAAATTTGCCGCCCTGGGCAGTAGCCTCGATTGGCCCTACTGTAAATCCAGCACTGTGTTACTGCCCGATTCTAAATAACTCATCAAAATATATATCAACACCAAACTCATATTTCAATATATATATATATATATATATATATATATATATATATATATATATATATATATTAACAAAGTCTAATAATCGGGCATAACATCAATAAAAAACACGAATTTCTTTCAAAAATTTATTTTAAATCCATACGTTTCGGCTATAATCCTAGTCTTCATTCAGTGGAAAAATTAGTTGATCTTGGTGTTAAATTGGAAAATTTTAATAATCCATGTTATTAGGATATGGTAATGCACTACACTATGTATTGTAAACATTAACTTGAAATTACACAATATTTTCACAAAATACTGATTTGAAAAAATCACAAATGGATGACATCTTCAACCAGTCTACGAATAACACACTATCCATTTGTGATTTTTTCAAATCAGTATTTTGTGAAACCGAAACGTATGGATAAATAAAGTATTTCAAAACTATTTTAGTTTTTTAACACGAAACTCACATATTTCAATATATATATATATATATATATATATATATATATATATATATATATATGTTTTTGAAATGAAAATGAAAAATAAAAAATAAACGAAAACTATATGTTTATACTATACCAGGAACAATTTCTGAAATTTCAGGTTTCAAATTCTCCGGTAAAGATGCCTCTTGTACCGGTAGTGCCGAAATCAGCTGCTCCGGAGGTAGTGCACCTGATTTTGGTGCAGCCAGAGTTTGAAAATTTCTTGGCAATGGTGGCGAAGGAACGCTTGGTAAAGGTTTAGCTATAGGAATAATCATGGTATTGTCCACACTTGATGAAATTTGAATGTTATTAAACATCGCATTAATAACAGTATCTCTATTAGTCATATAGCGGTTTGTATCAATATCCTTGTTATCACTGTTTCCCATATTAGGATCAAGAATAGGCCATTTAGTTGGTTCAACTTTCGTTCGAACTTTGAACCCATCAACTAGTTCAATTTTTGTGGAATCTTTGATAGATTCTATGATTATCGCGATATTTGTAGTCAGCGCTTGAATGCGATGAAATGATGCAATTAATGTAATAGGCAAAAAACCTTCACAGTCCATTTTTCGACGCAAAAAAAAGTCCTTTTCCAAATTCTCTTCGCTAAGATAATATTCTCTATAAAAATATTAATATTAGTAAGTTGATTCATGTTTAAGTAAGTTCACCTACAAAAAATATTTCATTGCTAATTACTAATATTATAATATTGATAATATACACTAAAATTATAGCAAATAATATAGAAGAGATTTATTATTCATATACACAACGCATATACATATACACAAGAGGTCTTCTGCGCTCAAATTATTCGCTCTGATTATATTATTATAAAATAAACTTTAATAATTTCCAGTTGACAAAATGATATGTTTATATATTTATATTTAATGAATTATATGATCCTCAATTAAATTGAATAATAATTTTCATTATGAATAAATTTCAAATTTATGTTTGAGAATTCCAATAATTTTTATGAAAACTTGCTAGCAATTTTATAAACGCGAATGTTTTGTTCTCTTTTCATTTATTATTTTATAAATTACTCAGACTTACTTCTTTCCTATATTATATATTTATCAAAAATTAAAACCCCTTAATTTTAAGATTCAAATTAGGAAACAATTAAGATTGAGGTAATGGCAAAACGGCCGTATTTGGGATATATTTATATACCTTTCATCTATGACACCACTTCATATATTAATTCATTAATTGTTTTGATTTAAACCTCTTATAACTAACTAAATGTTATTATATTTTATACAATAACGCTCTACGCGCTCAGGCGCGCTTAAACTCATTCAATAAATAAATAATTACTGATTATATACTTACATCTGTTTTTTAATGCACTCTTTAAGTGATGTAGTATCTATATTGTTAATTGCGTTAAAATAAAACGTTCCTATGTACGGCATCATAAATCGTTGCATTTCACTGCCAGTTGTCAGAACTACCGGCTTTGCTTTGTTCAAGGAGTCTGAATAAGTAGAATAGTCCACTAAATCACCATCAGTAGATCTCTTGCCATCAAGCAAAATTATATTTTCATACATCTTCCCCAAATCGTTCGTATAACCCCTGCCACTAATTTGTGCAATCCGTCTCGATCCAAAATGCATACCGCGAGCCGACAATCGCGCGCCCCTTCGATGGTTACTGGCAACGCCATTTCCACTTCTCGCATTATTACTCTCTTGCGAAACATCTGAAACAATATTAAACTGAATTAAAACGAAAACTTATGGTGCATCGTGCGTTAAGGCAAATTGCTGGAACTTTACGTACCAAAAACTAAAATTTTGAATAGGAATTTTGAATTTTGAATTTTTGAAATTTGACTTTTTTGATAATTTTGAATGTTTTAAGTAAAACTTCTTTAGGCATGACTAGAGAGTAAATCAGTAAAAATGAAACAGAAGCCTGTTACGCCACGAACTGTTGGTCATTGGCTATAAATGTGGTCATAGGTTGGATGTTATTCTTGTCGAAATACATGAAACTCTAGTAACATACTAATTTTGCGTAAATTTAACGGGCTTGTATTTGCACCTATTCTAAATAATCTTCCTAAACTTAAAATTGTATCTGAAAGGTTTATTTCACCTAGGTTGTATTTTATGCAAATTAGACAATTGCGTAATACCAATGCACAATATGTAATATTTGGCCTAATCATGAATGTGCCTGTTGACAAGAAAATTATTTACAGATCGGGTGACAAATAAAAGAAATATAAAAGCATTTCTTCAATATTAGGTTACAACCCTATAAATGTATAATGTGAAAATTGATGAATCATTTTTTCTTGCTCGAGATTTTAATGTTAAGTTTCATTCGGAACATTTTACAAAGCATTTGAAGGTTATAAACTTACTTTCGCGCTATACAGAAAAACGCGCAAATAATTTCGTCGAAAAAAGTTTTTACCGTAGTACGCTTTTACGTGATTTATCAAATTTTACGAGAAAAATACAAGTAAATACGCAAAATATTATAGAAACATATAATCTTTGAAATGCAAAGTTATTTTTGTCGATTGTTTATATTGTGTTTTTGTGGTATGCATATGCAAAAAAGGCGTTTGTAGATAGAAGTGAAGTGGGCCACTATTTGTGGACAGACACTTGCGTAATGCCGTTCTTTGCACAGTAAAGTGTTTTTATCAATTAATCGAATGTCTTATTTATTTATTTTAATCTCTTCAGTCATAATGCTTCCTAAAAAACAGAAAATTCCCAAAAAGGGATAAATTTTAAAAATTGATTATTGCTATGAAGAAAGTGATAAATAAAATATCGGAGCGTGTTGCTTCTGCTGTTACCAGCGTTAGCAGATTGCCTTTTGAACGCATCAATACTTTCCTACAAAAAGAGAGGTCGCGGCAGAAGCAGCACAGGGTCAAAAATCGAAAGTACTATCAAACGTTTCCAAGAAGGCTAATACTTCACAATCAGCTGTGACAAAGGCAAAAAATGATATTCTTCAGTTTGTTCAAATAAAGGCATCGATTTTGGCATGATTTGCAATAAACTGATGCTGGCAAAGCTGCCAAGAAAAAATTCCATCGAGTGCGATAACTGTGACAGACCCATCCACTTGAAGTGCGTCAATATGACCAAGTGCACCGACCTGATGTGCACCTATTACGACTAGAATTTGCTTGGATGTTGCAAAATGTTTTATTCAATAATTTTATCACTCCAACTATATTACTTTTCAGATATTAAATGAACATGACTAAAGTCACTGTTTTTTCAGTTTCTACGCTTCATTTGGTGTCAACGATTTTGAATTTTGTAAATTTGACAATGAACTCGTAATCATTCGTATTTTAAAACCCATAGGTTCAGAATTTGAAGCATATAGCAGCATTATTTCAGGTAAAAATGTGGGTAGCCCACCACTTCTCCCTAAATTTTCGGAAAACGCGTTAAATACACTTTTTGCCACTCAGAAATATAAATACTTCCAAAACATAATTGCAAACATTTGCTACGATAAAAAGTTGTGTTTTGCAACTAAAAAAATAAGAAAATATTTTCATTTTTAACCATTTCACAACCAAAAATAAAAACGTAGCCCACTTCTGTCCACCGCACCACCCTGTGTATTTAGAAATCAGACAGTTACAGCAAAACTATATCGATGCCTACAGTACAACTTGTACTGTAGGCAGTGGCGGATTAAGCTATCTGCCGCCCTAGGCCCTATGCAATCAGCCGCAATTATTTATTAATACAAATTTATTTTGTTATTTAAAAATATATTTTTATATTAAACTAGCTGACCCGGCTAACGTTGTTTTACTAAGTAAGGTATATTGTAAACAATTTCTAGAGAATCAAAAATATTAATACTTTAAGTGTATAAGGATGTATTGTTTGAATGCTATATACAATGAGGTATTATAAAAACAATAAACCCCATTAGTTTGTCTATATTTTGTCAATACAATCAAAGTGGAAGATTTATACACTTTCTATAGAAAACATAGTATAATCCATCCAAGTCTTTTTGGTCTTTCGACTTATTGATTACGTTTCAAGTTTTTCAGATTCTTTTTGGATTCTGGATTTTGTGTATAATTGTAAATAATACAACTGAGCTTATACAAAAATTTTCAAATTTTTGCGAGGAGAAATAGAAAATGAATTAAGCATATCTTCTTTGATTATAAATTTTAATTAGTTGGTTTGGTATTTAGCCTTGAGGCAAGTTACATGAACTTCCCGATATGTGTAAATAATCGACATAATCAAAAAAAATGTAAATAATATACTTCATCAATCCTACTTTAAAAAAACGATAATAATTTTAGCAAAGTTTGACGAATTTTTAAAATTAAACTACTTGTCGTAAGGCCGTAAATTAAGTAAATTCTATAAGACCATGATGTATATCGCCAAAAAAAGTTCCATGAAAATCGGCTTAAATTTTTTTTTCAACAGTTCATTACAAGAAAATGGCTCGGTAGATTTTCACCTAAAATTAATCAATACCATTCCCAACTAATATCTTTCGAACTGTTTTTGATTTTTTAAAATCGGTTCGGTAGGATGAGCTTAAATGTGGACGAAAATTTAATACTTTTTTTCAACAGTTAATTACAAGAAAACGGCTCGGTAGATTTTCACCTAAAACTAATCAGTACCATTCCCAACTAATATCTTTCGAACAGTTTTTGATTTTTTTAAATCGGTTCGGTAGGATGAGCTTAAATGTGGACGAAAATTTAACACTTTTTTTCAACAGTTAATTACAAGAAAACGGCTCGGTAGATTTTCACCTAAAATTAGTCAGTACCATTCCCAACTAATATCTTTCGAACAGTTTTTGATTTTTTAAAATCGGTTCGGTAGGATGAGCTAAAATGTGGACGAAAAGTTCAACATTTTTTTTCAACAGTTAATTACAAGAAAACGGCTCGGTAGATTTTCACCTAAAACTAATCAGTACCATTCCCAACTAATATCTTTCGAACAGTTTTTGATTTTTTTAAATCGGTTCGGTAGGATGAGCTTAAATGTGGACGAAAATTTAACACTTTTTTTCAACAGTTAATTACAAGAAAACGGCTCTGTAGATTTTCACCTAAAATTAATCAGTACCATTCCCAACTAATATCTTTCGAACAGTTTCTGATTTTCAAAATCGGTTCGGTAGGATGAGCTTAAATGTGGACGAAAATTTAACACTTTTTTTCAACAGTTAATTACAAGAAAACGGCTCGGTAGATTTTCACCTAAAATTAATCAGTACCATTCTCAACTAATATCTTTCGAACAGTTTTTGATTTTTTTAAACCGGTTCGGTAGGATAAGCTTAAATGTGGACGAAAATTTAACACTTTTTTTCAACAATTAATTACAAGAAAACGGCTCGGTAGATTTTCACCTAAAATTAATCAGTACCATTCCCAACTAATATCTTTCGAACAGTTTTTGATTTTTTTAAATCGGTTCGGTAGGATGAGCTTAAATGTGGACGAAAAGTTTAACACTTTTTTTCAAATTGCAAAGAAACGGCTTGGCAGATCGTCGCACAAAACTGACAAACGATAGTTCTCACCGAAATACATCAAATGGCTTTTAAATTTCTGAAATCAGTTCAGGCGCTTTTGAGAAAACGTCGATCAAAAGTCTAATTTTGACAAATGTCAAAAAAACAATACCAATTTTTGCAAACTTTGACGAATTTTTAAAGCTAAACGAGTTGTCGTAGGGCCGTAATATTTTAGTATGATCTAGAAAACGATGGTATCTACCGTCAAAAAAAAATCATAAAAATCGTCGAAATTTTTTTTTTAAAACGTTATTACAAGAAAACGGCTCGGCCGATCTTTACCAAAAACTAATCAGCACGATTCCCAACCAATATCTATCGAATGGTTTTTGAATTTTCAGAATCGATTCAGAATTGCGGGCTAAAACGTGGGCGAAAAATTTTTCACTTTTCTGCAATTTACGAAGAAACGGCCCGGCCGATCGCCGCACAAAACTCAGAGACGATAGTACTCATCGAGATACATCAAATGGCTTTGAAATCGGTCCAGCCGTTTTGGAGAAAACGTCGATTTACGGCAAAAAATCTGTTCACACACACACAAACACATACATACACACACACACACACACACACACATACTTTTTCCAAATTTGGTCTCATTCGATTCAGAATGGCTCGAAACGTCGAGAAAACATAAAATTAGCGAATCGGATTTTTTGATGAAAACATAAACTTCTCCTTCGGGATTATATTATGAAAACCATAACAATTATATCACAACAAATAACACATATCAAACGAACAATTATCTGACTACGTTCAGTAAACTGCCATCTACTTCATCATTGTAGAAATGTGCTTTTTTGATGTCTTTTAACAATTTGTTATCTAGACTTTTTCACCCTATAGGCGGGGTAACTTGAAACGTGCAGGTGGCAAAAAGGTTTAAAGCCTTTCCATAATTTTAAAGATATTTTACAAAATAATTACATTTTTAACTAATGATAAAAAACTAACAACGGAAGAAAATACTTTTATTATGGATTTTCAAAGATTACCGTTTATCTCCCCCATTTCAAAGATAACCGTTTTCACATCAAGGTTATAGCTGGTTATACATCTATTTTCCTCAACTTTCAAATATTGTTAAACAATGCTTAACTTTACTGATTTTTGACACATCGGTGGTGGACCTTTTTA